CGTAAAGTGTGTGTGTGTGTGTGTGTGTGTGTGTGTGTGTGTGTGTGTGTGTGTGTGGGCGAGAGATTACTATCTCAACAAGTCACAGGAAAAGACTCACATCTCCCTTTAGCTGTTGGCAGGTTAGAAACGAGACATGCTGGACAGCTGCCAACAGAAGAATTACTAGTTTGCAATCCACAAAAAGGAACGAATCCAGTTGACAGAATCACAAGAAAGCCGATCGTCCGAGGCACTCCGAGCCTCACACTCTGTTTTGATCATGTTACAGCGCAATACTTCAATATGTAATAATGGCTATCAACCAAACAGGATCTTCTTTTCCACTCTCATAAAGAGGTACAGCTTGGGAAACTCACAGGGACAGCGCTACCCTGTCCTACAGGTGGCTATGAGTCGACGGTGAATTCTGAATTTGGTGCTAAGAGCAGACCTTCCTTCAATTCTGTCCAACAGATGGCAGGGCAACTGTTCAGACTGAGAGGTAGAGCTGGAAGCGGAAAGAGGTCTCAGAGGAAGAGAAGAATCGGGAGGGGAGGGGAGGAGAAGGGAGGAGGCAAGGGGAGACATTAAGGGAGAAAGATGCACAGGCATGCCTTGGGGGCATTGTGGGTTTGGGTCCAGACTGCTGCAAATGTTAAAGCAAATATAACATAAAGCAAATGTTACAATTTAAAAGTTACACCATTTTTGTATGTTCCCCGGTGCATATAACAGGTTTAGACTGTCCTGTAGCCCAAGAAGTATTCAATGTAATAATGTAGAAAGGTTTGAACTAGTATGAGAATGACCACAACTGGGACACAGAGACACAGACTGAGCACATGCCCTTGAAAAGCAGATGTACTTGACCCGGGGCTGCCACCACCCTTCACCTTGTGAAAGATGCAATGCCTGCGAAGTACAACAACAGCTGGTATACCGCATACGTACTTACTACAAAACATGATGAAATAGATCTATCTAAAGTGGAAAGACACTCGATCTTCTTCATTTTACAGAGCAGGTAGCCGGCAGGGGGTCTGGGGTCCCTAACCTCACCAACAGCAGAGCAAGGAGCAGGAATCCCATCAACTCAATCCAAGTCCCCTGCTGCTTCCACTGCAATAGCCATTTATGCCAACTTCAGAAAATCACATCAGCTGGACAGAAGATACTAACTTCCTTCTCTAGAAGGGGGAAGACCTGGGTGTCTTGCTTTAGATAATACAACATGAGCTTCTAGAATATCCCTAATGCTGTGGCCTTTAAAAATGCTGATAACAAAGATTTGTTTTTGTAAGCATCTGCAAAACTGTGATCATAAGATATTTCCTGGTAATTGGAGATCATACAATGTGAATGTAAAAACCCAATATCATGATTTTTATCCCATTAAACTGATGACAGTGAAATTAAAATTAAATAATTGCAACTTTAAAAGCGATAGCTGTATCTATCAATCTATCCATGAACCTACCCACTTCCTACTGTTTGCCATTCTAATGTCAGGTGCTATACTGTTAATTGCTGGATATCAGTGCTGTTATGTTCCTTACAAGAGTGACAGTGCTTCCTAGCTGATATAAAATATAGGTAGACTGTTTAGAAACATTAAAGAAACAAAACCTTCCATACTAACATACAGAACTTATTTGAAAGCTAACGAATCTATGGAAAAGAACAAAGTCCGGTTTCCCTAGCAACAACATCATCTTGAGGAAGCAAAGAAACCCAGGGGCAACTCTGCTCCCCTCCCGAACATAACCATGCACCACAACACCCGGGGAGTTCCGAAGGTGGGGTGGGGAGGAAGCGTGGCTGATGACCAAATGCAAGATGTTCTCCTTCGCCGGTGGTGTCTCAGGGGAATGGCCTGCAAACCTATTCCCCTTCAAAAAAACCCCAAGCCCCTGAACACTCCATGGAGCGCCATCCCAATCTGACCCACCTGCAGTCTTCGTGGGTGGGGGCTGGATCATCAGGCACAAGTTACATTACCCATAGGAGAAACACACAGTCGTTCTCTCCTGGAGATTGAGTCCTGAAATATTACATGTAAGCACTCTGACTGAAGGGCCTTAATTCTCACCTACAATATCATATTAGGACTAATGGGTGTCATGTGTCCTTCATTTTCACAGCAGAAGAACCCTGGCATTCCTCTGTGTAAATCTCCCTTCATGTTTTCATTACCAAAAGTTTTACTTTTCAGAGTAGTCATTGTCTGAAATGTAGCTATGGAGAGGGGTGAACGTGCCTCTTGGAAACCAATACATTTAGGGCAGTGAAATTTAAACTAGAGGAGAACAAAGTCAACAAGCACACGAGCAGACAGGGCCAGCAGTTCAAAACCTAGGTCTTCCACTCCCTGGAAGAATTTTAGTCTTGGAAACCCACGGGGTGTATAGCGTCCCTATGAGGCAGAATCAGCTGGCTGGCAGGGAGTGTGGTTTTTTTTGGGGGGGAGGACCCTTTGAGATGCGGGAGGCCCCAGCAGGATAAACTCAGGAAGAAGCATGGTACTGCTATCTGTCCTATCAGTGCCAGACGGGAAAGGCACAGACAGGTTCAAGTTCTAAACAAGTGTGGCCCTAGGGGGCGCTGGAGCCATCCAGAGAGGCTCCAAAAGCAGAGACTGACACTGCCTCCTAGATTATGGACGAGCCTATAAAAGGTTTTAGCTGCCAAGGGGGGTGCAGGGTAAATTTTTTTTCCTGAGAAGGGGGCGGTAGGCCAAATAATTTGAGAAACTATGCTTCAAACAAAAGATCTATGATCCTTTCTCCATGTAGCCCACAGGCTTTGAGGGCAGAGCTGTGGGTACCTGCACTGTTCTTGAACTGCTTCCTTCACAGACTTCATGGGAAGGTTATTCGGCATGTGGATGCCTTCCACTTACGGTTCAGCATCATCGCAAATCCCAAAGAAAAAAAAGGCCCTACAATCACCCAAGGTCCAAAGCGATGGCCCGTTGTGATTTAGAAGAGAGCTGTGGCCGGAATTTCCATCAGGTTTCCCGTGTCCTTGGCCAAGGGCGGGGGGCCTCACCTGCAGCGACATCATGTCGGGCCGGTACTGCTTGCGGAAGCCAAGGTCGTACATGAGGAACTTGAGCATTTCGAAAGCCTGTTCCTCACTCATGTGCAGAAGCAGGACGCCAGCCACGAAGCTGATGCCCTGGCAATACCCCACTTCCTTGTCCAGCAGAGAGTAGGCTTTCAGGAGGTTAAAGAGAGACAGTTGGCCAGCCCCCAGCTGTGCTGAAAAGTAAGGGTGCGTGGGAAATGTCCTGCCTGCGGAGGAAAGGAAAAGAAACATTCGTGAGCTGCCCTGGTGCCCTAGAGACCAGAGTGAAAGTGTGATGCTGTGCCCTTCAGGAATGCACAGACACTCTTTTCGGAACCTGTGAGCTGAGTGGGGAGCCAACGGGCAACAGTACTTAAGAGTCTCCCCTCCATAACAGACCACCACCCATCTGGGAGCGGAGGCTGGTGTGTTGCTCAGAGGCTGAACGGGTTTCAGCAAAGCTTCCAGCCTAAGGTGGGTGAAGAGAAAGGTTTGACGGCTTTCTGAAGAAAATCCCGAGGATCATAACTGTACGACCTCCAACTGACCTGGGGGCAAGCGCTGGACCAGGCAGTATTTCGTTCCATTAGGAGAGGCTGGGTTCACTGTGGGGCAGCTGACAGCAGTAACTCCACAACTAGCTGTGATACAGTGAGCTCCCACAATGTAGCCCTTCTCCCCACGTTTTCTAACTCCCCCAAAATGATTGGGCTCGGAGGTACTGTCAATTCACCCTGGGCCCCCACTAAATACAGGGATGCAGACCGAAGTGGCGGGCCACGTAGCAGTGGCCAAAACAATGCTAACCTGATTGAAGAGCTATCTGCTGTTACTGCTGTCACTGCTGTGACATTGATCCTGAACTGTAACTCACGGTCATGAGTATGGTCTGTCGGGTCAGCATGGGCTGTATCGACCCCAGCGGAGCAGTGGACATTACTGGGAAGCGGCAGCTGATGTCAGAAGTTTTACAATGTTTGGGGATGGAGATATGTTTGACCTTCACCTCACACCAAAAGCAGTTGTTAAAAATACAGGAAACTGTAATCCACTCATAAGACAGCCTTCTATATAGATAACATATTTCTCCAAAATTTCCAGGCGAACTATTTAACCTGTGGGTATGTATGGTACCTTCATTCAAAGAGGGGTCCAACTTGCTCTCAGGAAGAGTAAAGGTCAGACACACACACACACACACACACCGTGGAGTTCAGTGAGTTAGGTAGGACAAAAACCTACCTAAATCCACCAGGATGGCGTGCTGCTGCGTCGTGAGCTGCTTTAGGAGTTCTTTATAGGACGTGTCCGGAGGCTGCTGCTTACTAGGCAGTCTGTGCCGCAGGCGATACTGTAAAGCTAGGAACTGCCAAATTTCTCCCCGTCGACATTTGGGCACACCTACAATCAAAGAGATAAATAAGCACCTGCCTGAGTTCGAGAATTCAGAGTCTAGACCACGGATGAGCCAAATCATTCGTCCTGTCCTCTGCTACCCTAAGACCTTACAGTATAACATCGCCCCAGACGCGTATGTGACAAGTGGGATTCCGCAGCAGCCCAGGATCTCTCGGTAAAGCTTCTGGAACGGACAATGATATTAAGGACAATGTTAATGACAACATCATTTAACATTTGGGGACTGTGAGGGATTGAGTTGTGTTTCCCAAACGCATTAAGTTGAAGGATTAGCCCATGTGGATGGGAATGTGACTCCTTTTAGAAGCAGATGTTACGTTTGTTGTTAACGAGGTCCTGAACGAGGAGGGCAGCAGGTCCTCAGACAAATCCCTTCTGTGTCTTAGAGAAAGAGCAGATCAACACAGAGACTCACTGAGGGGAGCAGATGCCATGTGGTCACCCGGCTACCAGCCATGCAATGTCCACGAGGAGATAGGGGCTCCTTGCTTGCCCGGAAACCAAAATCCCAACTCATTTTCGGGTCAATTCCAATTCATCACAGCGACCCTCTAAGCTACATTACAACTGTCTGCACCCACAAATTCGACTTAAAGACATACTCAGGGCATCTCCTCTTTGTGCCTCGGGGACTGCCTGCACATACACACCGCAGAGGGGCTTTCAGAGGTAACTAGGTGGGTTATATATTGGGCTGATCACCACAAGGTCAGCAGTTAGAATCTACCAGCAGCTCCGAGGGGAAAGATGAGGCTTTCTGCTCCCGTAAAGAGTCCAGCCTGGGAAACCCACAGGTCAGTTCTACTCTCTCCTATAGGGTTGCTATGAGTCAGAACGAACTTTATGGCAGTGAGCTGGGGGTGTTGTTTGTGTGGGTGTGTTTGTTTAATCTGTACATGTACATCCACAGACACAGCCATACAGATAAATAAGCGCTACGGACAACAGGATGGAAATGAGTCAAATGTGCCAGTGTGAATCACTTGCCGAGCCATCAGCGAAGATCTGTACCAGCCGACACACTCCTGCGAGCAGCCACGGCAAGCCAAAAGGAGGCTCTGTCTGAAAGAGAGACTCACCCCATCTTCTTACCAACCCCGTCATGGCTGCAGCTCGAAACAAGTCACTTTCCTCGACGACACTGATACAGCGCAAGGACGAAACTGTGTCTGAGCCATGCAATCAAAAAACCTGAGGTCCCCCACCCCCGCCACCCAAACAGAGAAAGGCTTGGTCAGGGAGGGAGGGAGGGAAAGAAGAAGGAAAGAACAGGGAGGGAGGGAGTCCAGGGAGGGAGGAAGACAGATTACTGTGATCATCTTGAATACCTTCTTTAAGAGAAGCATGAATATCTTCCATATCGCTTCTGATTTTAGCTCTGCAGTTTAACAGCTTCTTATCCCAGGCGAGGAGGACCTCCTTTTGACACACGCTGACTTCTTCATAGTCTAGTTTGATCTTTCTGGACTGGAGTTCATCTCTGCTCGCTAAGGGGATGGGGGGGAGAGTGATAGAGAATAGATTTAACCCCAATGTGTTTTCTAACTGTATTTTTAACATCTGACACATTTAGAAAGCCAAACCAAATGACCTTTAGGAATCAACCACTAACACGTACTCATTGAAAAAGCACACAAACAAGCTTCTTTGCAAGCAAGAGAGAGAGAGACGACACATGGAAAGGCCCCTTTCCTTGTAAGAAGGCATCCGAACTTCCTAAGGTAGGTCCACTCTCCCGCTGACAGAGGGCAGTCTGCTCACAGAAACCACCAAGCCGCGGCCTGCTAGGCTAGGGTCCCCCACTTTCAACAAATGTAATAAGTTGCTTCAAAGTCACACCCTGCAAAACCTTATTTTAACAGAATTGAAGCATTAATATTTTATACATGAGGGGACTTCAAAATGCTTGTGGGGAAAAAATGGAATTAGAAGATAATAGGATTTCCTCCACTGACTTTTTGAAGCCTCCTTCATAGGTCTAGCTAAGAATATCTCATAAAATCTTGATTTAAAAAATGCTTACCCCCAATAACCAGATATTTTTAGTGATTTCCAGAATTAGCAAAGCTGCCCCAACACCAGCTATGTGCCTGTCCATCTTTTAAGTAATATTAAACCAAAACCAGACTCAGTGTCCTTGGGTCGATTCTGACTCACAGCAATCCTATGGGACAGAGTAGAATTGTCCCTGTCCGTTTCTGAGACGGTCATTCTTAAGGGACTAGAAAGCCTCGTCTTTCTCCCAGGGAGCGGCTGATGGTTTCAATCTCCTGACTCTGTGGACCGCAATCTGATGTGAAATCACCAGTCCCAGGCCTTCTCTAAGAAACAGAGAGCTCTGCAATTGGATGGCCTGAAGTACAGCACCACAATGTACTAAAAGAAATGTTGACGGTGGTGCAAAGGGGTAACATGCTTGGCTACTAAGTTTGGAAGTTGGACCTCACCCAGAAGGACAATGATAGAAAGGCCTGGTGACCTACGGCCCCAAAATCAGATGTAGGAGATGATTAGAATCCGGACGCTTGCAGACTCTAGGAGTCAGAATCAATTCAAGGATGGCAACTGGTTTCTTATCCCGATTTGGTTTTTATCTTGAATAATTAATTCCAAAAGGGGGAGAAGAAACAGGCAACATGTGCGTAGTGTATGTTTTCTTCTCTTCCTTTCTGCTCTGGTTGGAAACATGGAGCCTTTCAGGGTATCTGGATTATGCAAGCTCTTGCCACTCGGCTACCTTACCTTCTGCAAGACAAAGCTTTGTCACGTATCCCAAAGTCCTCGACAGCACAAAAAATCATGGCAGAACAAAGGTTACTCTTCATTCAGTGGGACTGAAACCAGTTTGAAATAATGAACAATATAACAAGACCCAAAGAAAACGCACTGCCATCCAGTCTGACCCAACTAATTCTTAGCAACCCTACAGGACAGGGGAGAACTGCCCTTGTGGGTTTCCCAAACGGTAACTCTTGATAGGAGCAGAAAGCCCCATCTTTCTCCCACCGAAAGGCTGGGGGTTCCAAACTGCTGACCTTGTGGTTCGCAGCCCAGCATGACCACTAAGGCCCCTCGGCCCCTACTTAATATAACAGGAAGTGAAAATCCCTTCTTTGGAATTCAGACAGAACCGGAAGACAAATTGCACTATGAAAGTAGTGACCAGAAATGTTAAAACAGAATTCCTCCTGAATACCGCTAGATGGCGGAATAGCAGTTTACCTTGGCTTCTCAGGCTGGGCTTTGCACCTCTTAGTGATGAATAACTAGGTAACTTTAGGTAGGAAACCAGCTTATTAAATTTAATAACAAATACAGTCCAAATCTAGCTGTACTTACTTTCATTCTTATGAACACAGCAGCCGGTTTCTTTTTTGTCCCCTCTCTCCAACATTCTCTAAATCATTATTTAAAATTTTTAAAAATCCCCATGTGGGATGGACAACAGAAAAGTAGATGAAGGGAGATGCTGGACTGTGTAAGATATGACAAAATAATAATAATTTATAAATTATCAAAGGTTCATGAGGGAGGGGGGATCAGGGAGGGAAGGGTAAAAAATGAGGAGCTGGTACCAAGGGCTCAATTAGAAAGCCAATGTTTTGAGAATGATGAAGGCAACAAATGTACAAATGTGCTTGACACAGTGGATATATGTATGAATTGTGAGCAGAGTTGTACAAGCCCCCAATAAAATGATTTTTTTAAAAAGGAAAGGAAAAAAATCCCGAAGGCCAGTGGGTTCATTTAAAAGAACAACATAGTATCAGGAAAGGGCTTATTCATTGACTAGTATATTCAAGAGTTACACGTTTTGTCTTTTGCATGTAAATTCGAGGAGCCCTGGTAGCATAGAATGGTGTCCCGGGAAAGAGACAGGACAGTCTTTAAAGGTCACCATCTTGGACACCGTACGGGTAGGGCTACTCTGTCCTGGCCTCTAAGGGTTGAAATGGGCTCTCCGGCAGTGTGTTTGGTTGAGCTCCATAAATACATAATAAACACAGAGCTGACAGGTGCTTGAGAAGGCATTCCTTATCAAATGGTACAGTGTGACTGTCCACAGAAGACACAGGCTAGCTACCATTTGCATCAAAGCATCCCAGTTGCTTCTATGAACATGTACAGTTGGGAAGTTCTGTGGTGTGTTGGGAGAAGCCCAGGAGCCATGACAAAAAAACCCCCTGAGTTTTAGTACTTGTTCTGCCAATACCTCATTGTTTGTTCTTGGGGAACTCTAGCTTCCCCAAGCCAGTCATTAGCGCAACTATACACTAAGGGTTAGACTAATTAATCTCTAAGGTCATTTCTAAGCACTCTGACAGTGTCGTGGGTTATGTGTCCGTTTGCTAACTACAAGGTCAGCAGTTCAAATCCACTAGTTACTCCAATGGGAGAAAGAGGAGGCTATCTGATCCCATAGAGTAGTAGTTCCCTTCTACTGCATAGGGTCTTGATAAGTCAGAACTGACTCCATGGCAGTGGGTTTGATTTTGGTTTTAGGGTCATTTTTAGCTTAGTCTGTGACTCTGAAATTACCATTTGGTGTTATATATTAGATTCCCTTGTTCATACAACTATTCATGAAACACCATCTCATGCTCTAAAGTTGAAAGAAAATGATGACCATTTTTTCTCAGCCCTTTCCTCTGTTTATGGGTTAGTTCAAGATATAATCAATTGCATAAAAGTCTGAGTTCACTTCCTTTCAAAGTCCATGAAGAGTAGAGCAGGCACGCATGCCTGGCATCACAGAGAACTTTCGGGATCCATGCCGATGACCATTCCCTGCACGTGGCATCATTTTGAGAATGAGAAGATGCATTTACTTCCCAGGAGCTCTTTCAATCTTACGTATTTTCACTTCACCAGGAAAAGAGCAATGAAAAAATGAATGGCGCCCTTGGAAATTAAGAGATGATGGCTAAGTATTGGTAAAATTTAAAAGTTGAATTCAAAATAATGGGTATGATAAAGAGTCTCAAGACAGATGATACACAGGGAGATGCAAATACTTGTCTATTAGCTATTATGAATTTTTCAGTTAGGTATTTAATTACTTGGGTGATATTATTATGATATTGAATTTTTAAAACCAGACTGTTCACAAAACAGTTACCAAAAAACTGCAACTCGGATTCTGTAACAGCTAAGTGGATATTTGAATTATATCTATAAAAGGATATTTTAAAATAAGCATATTTCTCTTGTTGTGAATATATTTAGCCTGAAATTTGAGACTCAGGTGTAAAATAAAGAATTATGTTTTTTAAAGATTAATTTTTTCATAGATATGGGTTTTTTAAAGAAAAGTAATGCATAATGATATTAAGTATCACATTAAATATAACTGTCATATCAAACACAGATTGCACATTATCTATATCCTTGAATACATTCTAATGATTTATAACCTTTTAAATGTATGAGGCAAAAATGTAAGTAACCCATGTATACTTTCCCTGTCTTAACTCCCTCACTAGAAAAAGCGCTTAACTAAGGATAAAATCAACACATTTAGTAGTGGTATAAACCATGGTTTCTTCAAAAGATCCGTGTTGCTCTCATCAGCCTAGGGGACATATTTTTACATTGCCCCCAAATGTGCTTTTGATGTCTGAAAGATCTCTAACCATATTTTATTTATTGTCATCTCATCCCAACTCCAAGGAAGGGCTTTCCTCGATCTTACAGGTTCAAGATCGGCTATTGCTCTTCAACTACAATAAAGGAAGATATTTCCTCTCCCACTCCTTGTACAAAGCTTTGTTGTTGCTGTAGAAAAAGCAGTGAATCACATCCCTGTCTAGGTTCAATAAAATTTAGTCAGGATTCAATTTTTTTTTTTAAAAAAAGAGCTTAACAATTATCATCAGGGGAGAGTCTACGCAACGTGTGTGGACCATTCCTGAGTGAGTGTGAGTAGATGCCATCTGGCCGCGAGACGGGATGAAGTTTACTGCGGGCCTGTAAATTACAGCCGTCAAGCCGTTACCCCCGATGGGATGGCTCACCTTCCAGTTTCCGGTTTTCTTTTTCCATTCGCAGCAGCAAGATTTGTTGGTGGATTGCCTTTCTCCACCGACTCCTGAGCTCTTCTGATGTGTTCCTTTCTTCAGCTTTCTCGGGGTCATCGGCCCCAGACAGGAAGACAACGTGGGGTTCCTCTTCCATGGTTGGAGCCAGAGGGGAGAGCGGCAGCAGCTCATTCCTGTCCAGTCCATCTGCCGAGAAAAAAACTGTGAGAGGCATCCTGTGGTCCGTAACTCAGAGGGAGGACGGTCTCTCTGCCCTGGCCGTCCTCCTCCCCAGTTAGAGGTCTTCACGAAGCCGCAGTCCCAGGAACCTTTGGTTTCTAGAACCAATGACTTAAGTAACCTCACTAGACTGAATTCCCCTCCCAGATTTCCCTCCCACAGTGAAATGAAAGCACATGTCATTTCACCACTTCTTCTTTTAAGGACAAAAGACCTGTAAGATAGGTGCTTCCAAATAAAACTGGCGTTCCCCCCAGAGCCTGTACTTCTGCATTTTCAAAGTATATTCTATCACTGGGGCAAACTAAAAAAGATGAGATGAGTAGGCATTCGGTATTTCTTAGGGTTTAAATCTACCAGCACAGTCCAACAAGACAAGAGCAGTTGAGCGAGGAGAGGCATGTCTTGGTCCAGGATCTAATCCCCTCTGTTCTCTGCTCCTGCAATGCTCTCTTTTAGCGGACTGCCTGCAGCTCACTGGCCCCTGGATTCCTGGGCATTGTCTACAGTATTGGCTGTTGCTGTCATCAGACGCTGCCGAGTCAGTCCGACTCCTCGCTCGGTCCTGAGCCATCACCACAATGGTGGCTGTGCCGAGGCCCAAGGTTGCAGCCACTGGGTCAATGCATCTCATCAACCCGTCCTTTTTGTTTTCTGCAGACCCTCTACCCAGCGTGATGTCTACACAATCACCGATCATTTTCCTATTAACACGTGTGATCGCAGCTCTGCAAATCAGTTCAATGGTTACTTACATCCCAGAGAACCAAGTCCAAAGGATTGGAAAACAAAAACCAAACTCACTGCCACCAAGTCAACTCTGACTCAGGAACCCTGTCGGGCAGGGTGCCACTGCCCCTGTGCAAAGACCGTAATCTTTTTTTAAACACTCGGATTGACACCTAATCCATATAGCATACAATTCAACAGTCCAATCGTCTCAGAGACTGTAATTCTTCAGAGGAGCAGAAAGCCCATCTTCCTCCCACCGAGCCGCTGGTGGTGCCAAGACACTGACATTGGGGGAAACAGCCCAATGTGCAACCACGGGGCCACCAGAATGCCAATTCCTACATATTCTGGGCCCAACGTACCTCCCCAGCCTCCTGTGTGAACTTCCCAGTGTGTGTTCCATCATAACTCATCAGGAATTCCTAGCCCCCCAAGTCTTGTGATAAGTCTAGCGTATTTTCTCTTCCCCCTGAAACTCCCTTTCTCGGCAATGAGGTGAAGCCCCTGCCTTTTCTATGCGATCTTCTCTGACCATTCTGGACAGTTTTACCTTCCATCCTGCCAGTGTTTGCCTACTTCTTTTTCCTTTTTTAACCGGCTCCGGCCCTTGCCCCTTACTTCCTTCGGTTCCTTTTGTTTCATTCTATGGCTCAGTGTCTAACTTCTTACGTTGAGCACCCGGGACACCTGAGGTGGGGCTTTCTTGTGTCTAGGTTCTCGCCCCGCGACAATGATCCCGCTGCATTTCTGAAACTCTTTGCAGTAGAAAGCTCATCACCCTTCCCTGGAGGAGCTGGTGGTTTCGAACTGCCAACGCTGCAGTTAGCAGTCCAATTCATCACCACTCCACCTTAGGGGCCCTGGCGGCTGAGTGGGTTATGTGTTGGGCTGCTAACCACGTGGTCAGCAGTCTGAAACCACCAGCTGCTCCTTGGGAACGAGTCACAGCTTCAGCCACCCCCGGGGGCGGGTCTCGTCTGTGCTGTGGGGTCACTAGGAGTCAGACTGGATTTGAGGGCAACAGTGACTTTGGTTTGGCTGAATATTTAGGTCACTGTAGTCAAGGCCATGGCTTGCCTTCTAACCGCCATTTAATCTGGATATGTTCTTTCTTCCAGTCTCTAGGAGTTGAGTATTCGGTTTCCGAACACATGAATGTATTTACTTGTCCTCTAATTTCTTGATTTGTTTCTATTTCCCTCCCATTAGTCTTTCGTCAGAAAGTATAGTGTAAATGATCCCAACAGTCTAGAATTTGGTTTTAAACTTTGTAGCCAACTATTGATAAGATCTTTGTCGAACGGTCCACATGTACTACAAATGAATGGGGACGCTCTCTGGGGGCAAATTCTGTATAATTATTAGATCTGGCTTGTATATCCTTATCCATTTCTTATGTCACTTTGTTTAATGTGAGACCCTTGTGAAAGAGTATGATGTTGTTCTGAGGATAAAAAGCCATCTGACTTCTTCCCTCTCACTCCCATAGCACAGAGCAGGCCCCCAATGAGGCACATTCATTCATTCACTCAACAGTTACTGAAAGTCTTTTGCATTTTGATGATACCTGAGAAGTTATCCAAGTAGCCAAGATCAGCTGTTCAAATGACCCGTCCCTCTGAGGGAGAAAACGAGGCTGTCTCCTCCCGTGAAGATCAGCAGTCTCAGAGCCCTAAGGATCGGTTATATTCTGTCCCCAAGGGTCACCAGGCAAATGAATAGATCCCATGGCAGTTGGTTTGGCTTTGAAGAAGTGGCCTGCGTGCATAAGCTGTACAGAGTAAAGTCTTAGCCCTACTGCACGCCCTGAGACTCGTGGAAGGATCGAGCGTCTGCCTCCCCCTCCCTAACTTAGAGCGCTGGGGAGGGAAATTCCTCCGTGGGGATGCACAGACCTGGCTGCTGCATGGCTGCTGCAGACTTGTTCATGGGCGAAGCGACCCGGAGGAAAATGCGCTGCCGCCAAGAGACTCGGCGAGGAGTCACAGGGGTGCCCCCGATGCTTAGGGACTCATTGCTGCAGGTGGACGAGGTCCTTCTTCTCCCTTCTCCATCACTGCAGGAAACAAAGAGATGGGGAACTCACAAAGGGAGCTACATAACACGGTGCTTTGCAGGGAGATGGAAGCAGAAGCCATTCACAAGTTCTGCCAGGAGCCAAGGGCAAGCAGGAACCAAGGGCAGCAGGGAGCCGTGCGTCACCCAGTGTCCCCGGTGCTCCCCTACCCTGCCCCTTTCCCTCAGCCTTGCCTGGGCCACCACAATGGAAGCCAGGCTGCAGCCCAGCTGAGAGAGGGCCAGCTGTTTCTACGCATTCCACAGCAGCCAGCCATCCCAAGTCCTGACCGGAGGAAGAGATGCGCCTCTGTACAGCGAGTACAGATCGGCTAAATGACTAAGATTAGGAGTTTATTCTAACCCGTCTGACAACTTCAGAAAAGGCTCAGGGGCCAGCTTTCACTGTAGTTCAGAGAAACGAGGCTGATAAAGATAGTGGAGAATCGGGAAGATCTGTCTTCAAACTATTAGCAGCCAATAGCTCAGCCACGGCAGAAGGCTGAATAGAGGCAGAACACAGCAGGACAGACTGCGGGGGTTAGTGTTGGATGGTTGGTGAAGGATGAGTATGGTTGGCAAGTGACGAGTGATGTCAAAAAACAAGACACAGAGTCCTTTACAGCTGTCCAATGCCAGCGTGTGACTCTCCAAGAGGGCACGGGTGTCCTGAATTTCCTGAGCTTATTTAATTTCTCTGGCCCCAGGGTCACCACCTCCAAACTTTCTAAGGGGAAGGGGCAGGCACCCCATCGTGCTAGATTGGTATTTTGTGAAACTCCCAAGAGGAATTGGTACCCTGTTCTAAGTACTTCATTTCAAACGAAAGAACATTCAGAGTTCTGCCTGGCCTATTTGACACCAAAGGTCCTTAGCTCTCGACATGACTTTGAAGGTCAACTGTAGGACACGTGGAAGAAGACGCAATCATTTGGTGGTTGTTCTTGCTGTCAATGGCGGGAATGTTTGACTTTTCGTTCTTTCTGTTTTGTAAGATGTGAAACTTCTGAACTTTCTTGAGGTCCTTACTTGAGGAGACCAGTATTTACAAGTGGTGACACAAACAAGAAAAAGAAGCAGACTGTTGATGGAGTCAGGATGTTTGCATTTCAGGCCAGAAATGAAGCTCGGCTAGCACAGCCGTGAGGAGCCGGAGCCGCAGAGCAGACACTGGGCGCACCGGCACCCTTGAGAATGCTGCGTGCAATGCAATCGCCGTGATGTCGCGTAGAGCACGCTTCCCAAGCCACAGTTCCCCACAGATGCAGCTACGGCGAATCTCACTTTCCTTTCAACTGACTGACTAGACATAGTACTTCTAGGTTGCCTACAGAGTTTAAGGAGGGGGAACATTTTTTTTAAAAGAAAAAGAAATCAAAGGTCTGAGCCAACTTGGGTACAGCAAATGTCCCTGTTGCCCCAGAAAGCGGTGCGTGTCTACATCTTAAGAGAAGCCCCTGGGTGTTTCTGAGACTGTAACCGTTACGGAAGCAGAAAGCCTATCTTTCCCCAGAGGAGCAGCTGGTGGTTTCGAAAGGCACACCTTTCGGATCTCGGCCCAATTCATAGCCACGATACCACCAGGGCCCCTGGCCTTACCCCTCCCCCCTAGTACATTAGCAAAGAGTACACCCCTCGGAAATACCCGCTGAATCAAGTGTGGTAGTTACATATAACTTCACGTCAACCTGAGGCTATGTAAAAGTGAAGGGGGAGTACTGAACTGTCAATCAGGACACGGTCCGATGGTGCCTCCTTGTGGCCGTGGCCCTCTCCTAAAGAGGCTCTGGGAACCTGCCCCTCTCTCTGCCTGCTCCTCATTGCTGGCTGGCCCTGATTGCTGCCAGAACCCTGTGATGCTCCCACTGCCATTGGATCCACATGACTGTGCACCCACCGGCCCGTGGTCTTCCTGCAATCTGCATCGTTACATGCGGCTGTGCGAGTCTGAAGAGGGACTTATGGACTAGTATCAGACGTGTGGACTTGAGTTGGACTGGGCTGGGATGAGTTCTTGAGCTATAACTACTCCGTGATTTGAAGCTCTTTCTTACACCTATATGAGAGTCATTGGATTTGGATGTGCTTCTCTAGCCAACCCGGCCGGACACACATAGCTATTGCTGTACAGATGAAATGTGCCATGAAATGTTGTACTCAGAAGATGGTTCAAAATCTTGCCTATGGATGAGAGACGCTTCAAAAAGGCCAAGGAAATACACCTGATCCTCTTTTACTTCAGTTTTTCACAAACATTATGAAACCCCTTCATATACTTAGGCCAGTCTCCTATGCCAACAATAAAAACTCACTCATAATCAGGATTTGTTAGTCTTCTGGCAGGAGGCTCCAATCTCTCTGTTTCTCATCAGTATACCCTGAGCGTTCACAGCACTGGTAGATATTGACAATGATAACACAGTGAATATGCAGCATCTTTCTGTTTTCTCTCTCGAGTAAGTGTGATTACTGTTCCTTTCCTCTGTACACAAACCACCGTCACTGAGGGGATTCTGATTCATGGTGAACCGACAGGACTGCAGAACTGCCCCTGTGGGTTTCTGAGATTGTAAATCTTGCACTCCCTGCCATCAAGCCAATTATAACTCACCGTGATGGCTCACAGTGACCCTATAGGACACAGTAGAACTTCCCCTGGGGAATTCCAATGCTTTTCTCATTGTTCTCCCTCAGAGAGGCTGGGAGATTCGAACTGCTGACCTTGAAGTTAGCAGCGGAAAACATACCCACTATACCAGCAGGGCTCCTTCATTTAATAAGATAAGATCTGTGTTCAGAACTTAGGTTGCAGCTAAGAGTTGCTCCATTCTTGCAAGGAACAGCAGTTTACTTGCTGATTTGCATAGAGTCCGCTCTCTGACATCCTTAAAGGAATACAGTCAAGAATCAGAACTTTTACGTGCACCAAAACTCCAATATTCCCACTTGGCAACGCTCCTGAGCAGAAGTGGGAAACACTTTCAATTTATTTGATCACTACAGTAATTAATTTCACTTTAACTTCGTCTTTAATTAAGCTTCACAGCTAGCGAGTGTAATGCCAGCTTTCTTTTTTCATAACTTTTTATGCTGATCTCTTTTGGTGCTTGGTGACAACAGAAACAAAACAGCACGGGGCGTTTATTCTGACAACAATAAGGTGAACACTCGCAGGAAGCACCGACACCATGCCAAGCAATCTTCTGAGCACTGACATGTAGCCACTCACTCCGCCCTCCCCGCAGCTTTAGAAGGGAGGTGTTACGACCGGCCCCTGCTTGGTGGGAACAATGAGGGAGGAAGGGTTAAGTCACTTCCCTGTGGTCACCCAGACACTAGGCAAAGGCACCAGACTTCAAACCCAGACATCCAAACCTGTGGGCCCACTTTCACTGCCACTGAGTCCAAACGGACTCACAGAGTTTAAAGTTCAGGGTAGGTGTGTCCCCAGTGGGTTTCTGAGGCTGTAAATCTTTATGGGAGTAGAAAGTCTTTTCTCTCTAGGAGAGGTTGGTGGTTTCAAACTGCTGACCTTGCGTTTGGCAGTCCAACTGGCCCACTCCAGGTGATAAGGCCAATTTAAATGCTCTTCCCACAATGTAAATGTTCTTCACGCTCGTTGACAGGGAGTGCACAGGTACACAAAGTCAAATTCGAGTGCTTTTGGTCCTACGGCCGTGAGTCTCACCATCCTTCAGGTTTCCAGTGGAAAAATTCATCTCTGATCAGTGTGCATTCTTTTGGTCAGTACGTCTCTTCCCTTTTCCTTGTTTTTCATGGAATCATTTCATGAGTTTTCTAGCGAAATCTCAGAGTATTCTGAAGTGCTACTTTCACACAAGCGCCTCATTGCCTTTGCTTTGCATGGAAAACGACATTGCACAAGGGGCCTTTGTTTTAGTTTAAGGAGAAGGGGCTCTACTCCAGTATGCATACACTGGCAGTTGGATCATCTCCCCGGCATTTTTTAAATGATAAAACCAGTGATACCGCTCCCTTCTTTTTCCATGCAGTCGTTCCCCACTTTTGTACAGGCTTTGTCTATAAGGAGACACGTTCAGGAGAGGACTGAGCCGCACTCTGTCCATCAGAAATGTTTGAAAGCCAAAGGGAATGACTACAAAGGAAAACAACATGGAGGACCCTGGCCTCCTCTGCCTGAGGCATGCTCCAGAAAAGAGTTGAGTCGTGCAAACGGTTCACGTGCTTGACTGTCCACTGAAAGGCTGGCAGTTCACGTCCACGCAACGTTACCTCGGAAGAAAGGTCTGGCAATCTAGTTGCAGAAAATTGCTATGGAAAACCCTGTGGCGTTCTACACTACCATGCGTAGGGGATGCCAGGCGTTGCAATGGAATCAAGAGCAACTTTTTAGAAAAAAATACTCTCTCTACATATACTTTCTGCTTCCAGTCACCAATTAATTGGGAAGTCATTTCTAAGGGGAACAGGGGGAGATAACCCCATATGTTAATCACCACGGGGTGGGAGTTTTTCTCTAAGTCCTTTTGGGCACATCACATCTACTGAACGTTACGATATGATACAGGTATGATACGGACCCCAAACCTTCAAAATAACTCTTAAAAACATCTCCTTTAACAAGTGTTACCATATCAACAATTGAACTACCTCCCATGTGAACACAGCTACTTAATGCCTTCTTGTCTACTTCCATTAGCATTCCCTGGGAACTATACAGAAGAATAAGGTCTGATAGCGATCCCTCCCAGAGACTCAAGTTTTAAAATGATGTGGACTTTCTTCAGGACATCATACACACTCTGCTCACAAATACCAACTATCTTGCCAGGATCACTTTTGTATGGTGTTGCCCTGCTGGATGGCAGCGTTTTCCCGCCTCCCCAGCTCTCACACTCACTCACTGCCTTGGAACTGAGTCCACTCACAACGGCCCTACAGGACAGGGCAGACCTGCCCCTATGAGTGTCTGAGACGAACTCTTCACCTGAGTAGAAAGCTGAGAACGCCGGGCGGCTG